CTCGATTCCCCCCCCCCCTCCCCCCCCCTGCTCCGCCCTAAGCCCTCAATGAGCCCTGTAGAGCCGAGGATCTGCCTCGGCTCCTTATCCAACCCGAAGACGCCGGAAGACAAGGACAGACTCATTACCGAAGCCTTGGACTGCAAGGAGGGTTTAGGGTTTAGGGTTTAGGGTTTAGGGTTAGGACACACGAATTACCGAAGCCTTGGACTGCAAGGGAGAGGGTTGGGGCTTAGGCTTCGGGCATAAAGGCTGAAGAATGAAATAGGGGATGAGACAAGGACGGACTAATTACCGAAGCCTTGGGACTGCAAGGAGGGCGAGTTCGGGGAGGGCGACTTGGGGCTCTGCTTTTCAGGGTTTAGGGAGGGCCACGAGGGCCCTTGGGATTTTGGGGTTAAGAGCTGTAATCTAGGGATCAGGCCTTTAGGGGTTGTGATGAATGCTTTTTGGGGTTTGGGGCTTGGGCTTCGAGGCCTTCGTCCTACAGCCCAAGCCCATGCATCCCTTGAAGTAGCCTTTGGATCGCTCGTCATAAATGCTGAAGATTAAATTCGGGGATGAAGATGCTGTTGTTGTGGCTGGGCCATGGGTCATGGATTCAGGGCCTGTAGGCTTAAGGTTGTATGCTCACGAGTGTGTTTTGTTGTTGCTGCTGGCCCCAAACCCGAAGCCCCAAACCCTGAAAGGGCCTTCTCTGTTCTTGGTCTGTGGGCTGAACTGGTGCTTCTCAGAGAACTTGTAAGACTCCTTGTTAGACTCCAAACCCTAACCCCAACTCAGCCCAACTCGACACGACCCAAGGAAATCACCAACGGAAATCACCAAAACACACCACAAAATCCTGTTTGAAGCCTTAGTCGGTGTAACCGTTGGGGTCCTTCTGACACTCCTATAAGACTCAAGCAGGAATCTTGTGAGCGAACCGCTTGCCACCCCCTACACAAAACCCAACAAATCCTTAAGCCCAGAACCCAACACGTTTCGAACGGTTTTGGGGCTGTACTTGGGCTTTGAGATGGTTGAGGGTCTAATCGAGTTGACGGCTCTGTGCTTCGGATTGTGGAGGCTCAGGCATAGGATTCAGAGTTTGAGGGCTCAGTGCATTTATGGTTTACGGATGTGTACAGGCTAGATAAGATATTTCTTACCGCCAAGAATATAGCAGACCACCAGCCTCAGAACACTGTCGACACTGTCTGTGGTGCTCGTGAGTTATGCTTCTCTTCATGCTGGTTTTTGATTTGTGGATGGACGGCTAGATATGACATGAATGTCAACCCTGAAAGACAAGCCTGAAGCCCAAGTGGCAAACTCCAGCCGGTAGCCCTGAAGCCTACAGTAGAGACTGCTTAGAGGTTTAGGGTGTCATTTTGGCTTAGGAACAGAGCCAAGGCATCCTCCTGGCACTGAAAGCTTGAGCCAACCGCGATCCATAACCAAAACTGCATAGTAAGTTCCCTGTACCCACAGGACCCTTCAAGGAACCCTTTAGTAAACCCTATCGCCTCCTGGCCACAAACGACAAGCTTTGAGCTGCCCTGAACACTCTGCGACTACGGTAAGAGTGTGTTCCCCACATCGTTCGCTGAGGAGACGGTGCAGAAAGATCTCGATGAGTATGAGGAGGGACAGGACTAACAGCCCGAGGGAAGAGGAGGGTTCAAGAGGTTAGCGCTTCAGTTTTGGGGTTTACTGCTTTGGCCTTGGGACTGTAGTTCGGTATGTGATCCAGCATACATGACTAGGCCCATGTGTCGTGTATAGAGGGTTACGAAGGCACATTGGTCGACTCTGGCATGCCTTTTCGCTGGCTAAACGTTCGTACACCTGAATCATGCCGATGGAACTACTGCGTTCTGGAGCCTATGCCTGAATACTTTTTTTGGGGGGGCCTGTTCCTGAAGGGAACCATTATAAACCACAAGTCTATACTTTTTTCCCTGGTTACTTCGAAGTCTAGACTACTTCGTCACCTGGACAAGTCTTCCTTCGGGCCAGGGCTCTAGGAGTATCTACCCTGAACCCTAAACTAAACCTTACGGTTGATGATATAAATCCTGCATTGCCCATAGTATGGAATATACCATAATTCCCATAGTTGAGGGTCCTTAAAGTAAGGCAGGATTCTTATCATCAGCAGTATCTTCCGAGCTTTTGAAGTTCAGAGGTGGCCAGCTTTTGCCCCGTGCATTCGAGCTTGGAAACGTGGGTCCTAGGACCCAGGAAGATGTTACAGACGGGGCTTTGAGCCCGTACCGCTGAAGCCCCAAGACCTTGAAACCTTGCGTAAGGAAGCAGCTTAAGTAACTTCAATATATATATATATATATATATATAGGTTATTTATATACACATCATAATATAAGATTGATGAAGGAGTTCGAACTGCAAGTGGTGTCACTGGGACGCGACGAGGGTGTGCTGGCTGTTGGAGTGGTTGGCTGCAGCTCCTGCAACAGATACCCGCACATTACCGTGGCTCGGAAATGAGAGCTTGGGGGGACATGGGTTCACTGTTTGAAAGCTGGCTTCAGGGTTTAGGGTTTAGGGAACCTAAACCAAAGGGTGGCATGGCTTCGGCGTGCTCAGGACAGGTTGCAGAGGGCGGCAGGAAGGATTGCACGTTCTGGCTGAAGCTGTTGCGGCAGGTTGAAACGGCTGCTCGCAAATGCCCTTGTCATATCTCTTATAAATCCCCATACTGGAGGTCTTAAACCCAAATCTTTACTTGGTAATTTCCTAAACCCCAAACCTCATGAGGTGGCCACGGCGCCTGGAAGCAAACCAAGTCAAAGTATCTTGGCTGGCCAACCTCTGGAGCCAAACAGGTCCATGTGCCCATATGGGGCTTCCGAAAATAGGGGACCCTAATATAGTACCCTAAATAGTAGGATCCTTATTATAAGGACCCTAAGATAAGGTACCCCCTATTTTCGGAAGCTCCCATATAGTACGTAATGCATTGGCCTGAATGATCAGAATGGAGGTTGCCAGAGCTATGAAGGTGTAAGAAAGTCTTCCGACCCTTACATGAGAAAGTAGACTTTGACCCTCAAGGACCTAGAATGTGTAGGCAGCCCTTTGTCTAAATTATGTTCTGGGTATATTGACCCTGGACAGCTGTGCACAGATTGAGGGCGGCTGCAGGCTCAAGGGATTTGGGTTTGAGGTTGATGGTTTAAGGGCTTAGGCTAACCCTAAACCCTAAACCCCTAAACCGGTTTAGGGTTTAGGGTTAAGCATCTAAGGGCCGCGCGGTACAAGGCTTCGGGATGAAAGTGTTAGGGCTCAGTATTTCTATTCCCTGGATCCCCTTACGTCTTACATGTCGGTTCGTATCAGGTTTGGTTGGAGGATGGATATGGGCATGTCGTGAGTCGTTAGGGTATCTGGTTTTAACATCTTCACTGACAGGAAACTGAGGTTAGGGTTCGGAGTTACTGTGCAGGCCATCTGTCTTCAATGTGTGCCATGATGCAAAGCCTTGTGCGAAAACTTCGTGTTGGGTGCTGTTGCGAATGATGGGCAGACATATTCTCTTACATATATGTCGCTTCGAACTACACCTGCCAGGTTTCACAAGGGACTTACCGAATATATGCCATTGACCCTAAAAGCCTAAACCCCTAAACCCCAAAACCCTAAACCTCTAACACCCTAAACCCCTAAACCCTACACCCCAAAAATTATGGTTGCACGGGGATGAGGATGGGCCGGAGTTTTTGGCAAACCAGGCTGCTAAGCAGCCCTCAACCGTGAATGCGCCAAATTACGGCCATTCCCTGAACCCCAAACGGGTAGTTCTCTAAATTAGGGTCCTCTTTTAGGTCCCCAATATAGTACAACAGACCTTCATTTTTGACCGGCGAGAATTTGTTTAAACTTAGCTGGTGTTCTGTCGTCCAGAAACCTCAACCGGGGCCCGAATCTAGCCAAAGAACCCCTAAAGCCAAATTGCTAAGCCTTACTTAAAGGATCATGGGACTTAATAACTAAGGATATTATTAGGATAGCTATACTTATAACTACTTATAACCCCAATTAAGGGACTTATAACCTTACTTACTAGGTCCCATGATCCTTTAAGTAACGAGCCCCCAATTTAGCTCCAAGAGCCGGTAAGCCTGTTGCTATGCGGGGTTTAGGGCTTTGGGCTTTTTGGGTTTAGGGCTTAGGGTCTAGGGGTTTAGGGGCTTTGGGTTTAGGGTTTTGGGCTTTTTGGGTTTAGGGCTTAGGGTCTAGGGCTTAGGGTTTTTGGGTGCCCTAAACCCGAAACCCCAAGCTTCAAGCCCACGTCAGCAGGCAACGGCTTGAAGGACTGGACACCGACGCTTGCCTGGCACCGATGGCAAACTTCCCTAAACAAATTCGAAAACGGTTTCGGATTTGGGAACTTCCCATCATGAAGGGTCCCACCTTCCAGCAAGAATTGGTGGGGTTCTAGATAAAGGGTTACTGCAAGACCGTCAATACCTAACCTGAGGTAACCTGTGAGTTTCAGGCCTCATTACTGGAGCCCGAAACCCCCAAAGCCTAAGCCCTAAAACCCGAAACCATCGAACCCTGGGTTGATATACAAGTAAGACTTCTTTGACCAATCACTCTGTGGTTTTCCAGGGTCTGCGT